GCCATGGCCATTAAGGGGAGCAGGAGGGATGCTCTGTGTGATAGTCACAGCTATTAAAACACGCCCCCCCCTATAATATCTTATTTCCTTAGTCTTAGCTGGTCTGTGAATCTGTGCTTATCTACATGATTACTTAATAAACACATGACCAGTGGAAAAACAGATACACACGAGCACACACATGAACTCTAATACCTGGGAAAGTATGGCACACTCTGGAGAAAGTCAAAAGTTATCCACTTCAAACAGAATTGAACTGGGAAAAAAGTCAGAATTCTTTCTAGGCACCTGCCACGGAGTTCTGAGCCCTAGGTATACACAGAGGGCATGCTTGGCAAGGTCAAACGTATGTAGGTACATAATCAGAGAAAATTCTAATTGAATCTAGGCCTCCAGTCCAGGACCCCAGCTAATTTACAAGGCTGCTCTAGGGAAGACACAATTTTAGGGATGACAATACGTGTATGGTGTTTGCTCCAGCAAAAGAAATTACAGTGCATTCCCACCCTTCGAGAGAACACAGACTGAAGATTCAGGGAGTTTTGCTGGTTAGGATGTTTCTGCTTTGTTTTGTTTGTTTGTTTGTTTCAGCTCATAAGGTATGTTTCCATTGTACCCTGTCAGAAACTTTCTCAGCAGTCAAGGAGTGGAAAGCAACACAGCTGCCCTTGAGCCGAGTTTGTAAATGTTACTGGGAAGCCACCCCGTGCTGTCAGGTGACATGGTTTTCAGACATGTCTAAACAGACTAGTTGAATTAAAGACCAACTCCAGACTTGATGATGCTGAGCTGATCAGCTCCATCTTGCCATCCTGATTGATCGAGGAGATGGGTCTATAGTTAAAGAGGCATAGGACTTTGAGGGGTTAGTCATTAGAGCACACTGCTTTGTCTTGGGAAGGCAACTTCTTGCTTGGCTAGGTTATGGAAGCTAAGGAGTGACGTCAAGATCTTGTCTGGCCAGAATTTGCAGATAACCATAGAACTCTTCTCCTCCATCAGGCCTGGATTTAGCCTCCTTTAGTTCCTGCAGTGACACAGGAGCCTCCAAATACCAAATTATTATCAGGCGGTCTTGGGGGAACCTCTGGGCCCTGCAATAAAGTAGACAGACTTGCTATTGGAAAGTGCTCGGGAGCAATTCAGCCCTGTTCAGATTGCTCTAAAATCCTGCAAACCATCTCTGGACTTTGTAAATGAAACCCTCTTATAGCTTCCGATAGTGAAAACGTACTTTGGGGAATAGAATGTATCACCATCTTTCATTTAAATGCTTTTATGTGTCACTTAAATAAATCCAACTGGATTGTGTTTTGTTTGACTCTTTGTTGTTTTGTTGTTAAAGCAAAGCTAGGTAAGCATTGAGGCTGTATCGCTTTGGACAAGCCACTTCTGAGCACTGTTTGTCAAATAAGGTATTTTAAGGTAGTCTGTACTAATCAATCTTCAACTCGGAGGATCACAAACAGGTGGTGTACTATGGGCCCAACCTGACTCATGCTGATGTTTGCTTATTTATCTTACCCACCTTCAATCTTGAAGAAAATAATAAATGCCTATTTTCTCTGGAAGAATTGGAGTAACACTCAATAATGCCACACTCAGACTCCAGCTGGTCTTCACTGCCCCTTATCACTTTTTCTATTGACCTGCCTGCTCCCTCAAGGTCACTGGTCTAACCTGTTTTATCAGTGTCTATCACCCTGCACTGTAATTACATGATGATCTAACTACTAACTTCGCCAAGGAGACCTCTGCGGGCAGGGAACAAGCCATTATTTTCATGGAATCTCTAGTTCCTAGCATTGTAGGAGCATTACAGGTAAACACTAAATATTTAACAAACTGAACTTCACTACCTAAATTCTTACGAATCAGTGCTTGATTCGTTGAAATGAAATAAGGATAAATATAAGATCACATACATATTCCAAAGCCCACATCTTTGACTAGCATGCAGCTTTAGGAAAGAGGCCAGTTTGTGGCCCAAACTTTGATGGGTCTAGAACAGTAGTTCTCAACCTGTGGGTTGCAACCCACAGGAACTGTATTAAAGGGCCATGACATTAGGAAGGTTGAGAACCACTGGTCTAGAAGGACCCATCCATGTGTAAGTGTGCATTTGATATTTTGCTTTAAACACAAGGAAGGAGTTCTAAACTCTCTCTGTGACATTCTTAATTTTTTTTTAGATGTAACCTATGAAACTTCTTGGAATAACCCTTCTTTGAGGTTAAGAAATTAGTTTGTAAAAAATATTCAATAGGAATCACCTAATAATGGAAAACTAAGCTCCTAACATTTTTCTAGTCAATAGTGACAGATCCCTCTGTATGTCAGGTCTATCCATTTTTGAGACATTTTTAATGTCCAGATTACTATAATTAGGATGGTCAAAGAAATAACTTTTATCAAAAGCTTATTTCTGCTAACATTGTTATCTATATCTATTTAAATTGGCTAAAACATTGTTAAGATATGTCTAATAAGGAAATTTGAATATAGGCAAGTTAGATGGGTATAAAGCCAATGAAAAACGTTACATGTCATCTTTCTTGTGACAAGGCTGCTCTTAATTAATATTTCAGTAATATGTAGCCACGTCTGCTCAATATCTGGCCATCAAAGATGCATCATGTTTCACACTATGAAAGGATAGTTCAACAAATGATGTTCCTGCTCTCTGGGAGCTTACAATCTCACCTAAACAAGACTTCAGAGACACAGACATGGGGGTGGTCATACCACTGAATAAAAGGCAACAGATACATTGAAGACAAAGGGAAAAATTATCAGACAAAAAAATGATGTTGACAAAAGGGTGAAGAGAAGGAAAAGAAATTGCTTCTTCATCTCATTTCTTTGAAAAAGGATTCATGGGAAAAGTGTAATTTTAAGTGCTCTTCGAATCATAAAACCATAGATGTAGCTTTGTCCTAGGAAAAAAGGATCTTTGGGGAGAAGATGCCAAGTGACTGAATGATAAGCTGGGAAAGCGTGTTTATGGAAAGGGCCCGGGAGACTCCGTAAGGAAGGAACTGCCAAAGCGAGAAGGAAAGGTTGAGACAGAAGCTGAGGGGAGGCGCAGAGTGGCTGAGCCACAAAACCAAGACTTCTCCAAAAATAACCAAAACCTTTGCTAAAAAATACTCTCAAGGACTCCAGAGTAAGGAAATCACCTTTGAAAACATTCTTTTAGGATTTCCAAGGGGAAATAGCACTTCTGGACATCTCCTCCACTTCCTTCTGTGGGGTCCCATTTGGTACCCAGTTTGTTTGCTTTCCTGCTCCTTGGTTCATTGGGTGTGTGGGGCTGATGATACCTACTTGACCATGCAGCTTTATCTTTCCTCTACAGACCAAAAATAAGTGAAGTTCTTGAGGGCATGTTGATTTTTAGTCAACCTCATTTATGACACAGCCCCAGGCTAAGTGCAATACCTCATGTGGTCTAATAGTACTGGTGACAGAGGTGTCAACAGACTTTATTCCTAGGTAGAACAATCAAAACGATGACAGATGCTCCTATCACAGTACCCTGCTTGGTCCTAGTCCATAGCTGACTGGGGGGCATGCAGAGCATTTCAAAGGCCTTTGGAAGATGCTCTCCTCATCAGAGAAAGCACAGGTTCAGCAATCCCCCACTCACCTTGCTCCACACCACAGTGACAATATTAGGATTTATAACACCTTGATTTCAAATGATGTCTTCTATTTCAAGGAGCTCAATATTCATATACATTATTCTATTTACCTTGTCATGTTATAGAGTCAACCAAAAATCTATGGTGGGGTCCAATATCACATATCAAAAGCTTGTGATTCTGTTCTTCCTAACACTTAACCTCAAAGCCAACCTTAAATATATCTTGAGATAAATTTGAATAATAGAAAGAAATGATGGGTGTCTCCTTATATATGAACAGATTTGATACTCATTGCTAATTCCCCTTGTCCCAGGAGAATTCTCAACAGAAGAGCAGCCCCCAAAGCCTAACCTTGTAATAATTCTAACTTGTCTTTGGGACAAGGCAGGTGAACGGTATTTAAGACAAGATAAGAACATGCAAATAGAAGATACCCACTCATTAGTGCTAGGGAACTGCTGATATCAGGACCACCTGATGTCATAGAGCTCTGGGACCCTTCATTCCACTGGTTCTCATCTTTCCTAATGCCACAATGTATTTTCACTGTTAAAAAGGGGTCGTGACGCACAGGTTGAGAACCGCTGCTTTATTCACATGTGAGGGAAGGCCTGGAGCTCCCATGGTATAATCCTATTTGTCCACTGTGGGTTTATTTTCTGTTGTCCTCAAGGCTGTGCTCCATGTTATATATTTGAACAGTGGATCAGATAATAGCATAAATGGCTCTCAGGGAAATCTCAAGCTTGTCAATAGAGGCTAGTGGGTTACTTTGGTTCTGAGAAATAAAAGTCAGCATACTTGACAAACACATAATGTCTTGCCATACCTTTTTGCTATTGTGGCATCATGACAAAATCTCATGCTGGGAACTAAGAGTAAACAAAGAATACAGGACTATCCAAACTGATAACCACCTGTGTGCAACACAACGCCTTCCCGTCTACAAGGACTGCATATTTTAATTACTTTCAATAGGCCAACTTTACATTATATCAATTGCCTGTCATCTGTAACTGATGTGTGTGCATTCTAAGGATACTTCTGGTTTCTGTCTCTTATCCTTTTCAAGATAAGCATGTCTTAATTCTGATTTCACATTGACAAATGGTTTTGGAAAATGGATCCCAAGAGAAGTCAGTATCTGCCCATAGTTCCTATCCCAACAGGAGACAAACCCTAAGAATTCCATAAGCAACAAACTAAACTTTTTCTATGGTCCAAAAGCTGCAAGAATCCTCAGACACTGCCTTAAAACCCTGCCCCCACCACCCTTGTCAGGGCTCTGACAAACAATCTGGTTGATACAGCCATGCAGCAAATGGGCCAATAAGTGTCAACAGCTGTACTTACATGTGTCTGGCTTGAGCTGACTGTTGGTGATGCCAAAGTACTGGGGATTTTCAATGACAGGGATTTTGGTCATTCCAATAATGACAGCATCCGGGCCACCCTCCGAAGAAGAGGGGGTGTTACTCCCATTGGAGATATGGTGCAGTGGGCTGGCAGAGTCATCGTCATTGCTGATAACTGAAGCTGGGCCTGGAGTTGGAAGACATATACATTCTCCTGTAATCAATGGTTTTCTTGAGCTGTGATTCACACACATATATTTCACCCATTTAAAGTATACAATTCAGTAGGTTTTCGTATATTCACAGAATTTTGTGCAAGAATCATTATGATCTAATTGTAGGACACTGTCACCACTCCAATTAGCACTCACTCTTGATTTTCCCCACTCCCAGCCAGAGGCATCCATCCACAAACTTACACTCCATCTCTAAGGACCTGTCCAGTCTACCATCTCATACAAATGGAGCTATGTAATACGTGATCTTTTGTAACTTTTTTTTTACTTAGCATAATATTTTTAAGGTTCATCAGTGTTAAAAGCAGGCATCAGCACTTCTGTCCATTGTATTGCCCAATAATACTCCAATGTGCAGATATGTCTCATTTTAATTATTAATTCGTCAGTTCATGAACTGATTAGGGTTGTTCTGACTTTTTGGCTATTATAAATAACACTCCTTTGAATATTCATCTACAAGTTTTTGTGTGGACACGTGTTTTCATTTCTCTCAGGTGGAATTGCTAGGTCATATGGTAGCTCTATGTTTAACATTTTGAGAGATGGCCAAACTGTTTTCCAAAGTGGCTGTGCTATTTTATATTCCCACCAGCAGTGCATGAGAGCTCCAATTTCTTCACTTCCTTCTCCTGTAATTTAGTATGAAACTTCCCTCTCTGTTCTAGGAAGGTTTCTAAAACACTCTGTCATTGAAACTCTCATCACAGGACACTGAAAGTTGTTCTGGGAGTTTGAAGAGTTTCCTTTCTCCACTCGTGGCAAGTCATTTACCTTCTTTGTACCTCCACAGCCACTTACATGAAAAATAATATTTGCTTGTTATTTTATGAGACAGGAATGAGACTAGTGATATGAAAATGCATTACACATTTAAATGTACTTCATGAGTATGTAAATTATTACTAGTCATTACTCAATAAAAAATAACTGGTAGACTAGATTTACATTGGACTGACCTATAACTATGTACCCCTTTCTCTGTATTCTACAAGTACCTGTACTACTTTTATCTACAAAATATCTTCATTGGGTGGCGCCTATGGCTCAAAGGAGTAGGATGCTGGCCTCAAATGCTGGAGGTGGTGGGTTCAAACCCAACCCTGGCCAAAATTGCAAAATATATATATATCTTCATAACAATACTGAATCAATCCCATGGCCAAGTGCTTTGCCTTTAGCTATAATATCATTTATAGAGTCATTATTTGGGTGTCTTTATACTAAAGTAATAATCATAGCATTTTTCATATTAATACAACTTAAATTTTCTACTCCAAACTCTCAGAATATATATATGCCTGTCCATAAAGTGTACTGTATCTTGACTAAAAGTGTCCATTGATGACTGAACTCAGTAATACTGTTTGCAACCAGAAATGAATTGCCAAAGATAAAGGTCTATGTGAAATTTCAAAATGGTGGCTCACAATAGGCATGCCATGTGTGGGAAGAAAACAAAGCCCCCAGGTGTATATTACAAATGCAGGGTCCCGTGGAAGCAGGCCATTATTGGCCAGACTACAGGCATAATCCAAAAGAAAAAATAAGAAGGAGAGACAAAGGGGAAGAGAGAGAAAAGGCAGAATCAAATTCCCAGCCAAGGCAAATGCCACGTCAGAGAAGAGAAGTCTAAGTCGCTACTTCCTGCATGAGGGAATGCAATTTCATCCACAGCCTCCACTCCCCAAAATGCGTGTTTTAATACCTCCATCTATTCACTACCATTTTCCTTACACTTAACTATTTCGGTGAGAAGTGCAGCAATTCTAAATACAAAAGTTGTTTTCTCATACAGTATAACGATACACCATCCCCCAACCTCTAAGACCCATTTTTCCCCCCTTTGTATGAGGCTTATCACAGTTTGTAGTGATAATAACTGGACATTCCCCAGTTAGCTGTGTCTTAAACAAACTATGCAGGAGGCAGCCAACTGCTATTATAGGTAATTTTTCAAGCATTCTCTCAAGGGGATGTGCATTTAAGCTGCCTTTAATGATACACTCTGGCTCAGTTCTGCAAACAAGTCCTCACACAGCCAATTTAGAAGCCACAGAACACTCAGAGCAAAGGCAAGCCCAGCGGTGATGCTCACATTGTGCCTAGCTCACCTATGTTAGTCAAGAGCAAAAATCCTGCCAAGAATAACGATAAAAACAAGTACTTTTCCATATCCCTAACCATCCCTGCTTTATGACTTGCTTCTTGACAGGCCTAGTCTACCCTACTTCTGGCCAGTTATGGAAAGTGAAGATGTGTTATGCTAAGATTTCTGCATCTGGTCAATGAAACCCTCTCACCACTGGTTCCCTTGCAGCCTGGTTCCCAAAACAGCTATTCCCTCCTTCAAGGTTACCAAAGCATGCTTCCATGAGCATCCCAAGGGCCTGCAGCCAAGGATGTACATTTCAAATTCTAGGCTCCAACCTTCACCCCCAGAAATACAGGAGTTTCATTTGCAAGTACTCCACGCACTGTCAGAAGGTTAACAATATTTCCATCTGGAGCCCCTGCAATAATTAGAAATGCATTCACTCCAGTTGTTTCTCCTCTGATTCTCCTCTGGCCCAGGATGGTATGATGTCTGTTTTAATACCTCCATCCATTCACTACCATTGATATTCTATGCTATGAACATCACAGCACCATGCCATCATGTTGGAGGAGGTTGATACCTAGAAGTAGGAATCACAAGATTCCTTGGGGATTCAGGCTTTGAACCTTCTGACAAGACCATACGCACATGCAGTGGACTTGCTCTCGGCTTCTACTTTTCCCCTAAAAGGACATCCCTCGGTCCCTTAACCTTTCCAAGTAAAACTCCCCACTGTGATGTAACAAATCTCAAGGGCATGAGGTCTTATTTGGGCAGCTGGGAGGATTAAACACCAGAGCAGTATAAAACACCAAAGGTAATTTTCCAAAAGCCTTTTTTTTTTTTTTTGCCAGCAAGTCACTGTTGACAAATGTGAGCAACGAATAAACCTCAACAATTCATCCAGTGGAATATTAATTCAAGTGCTATTTTCTTCATTAGTGATGTTCCAAGACCTGGAAGATTGATAAGGTTGGCAAAGTGGCCAGGATTAAGCCCATTTTTCCATGGACATTTCGATATAATGGAATGCAGAGCGCAGCAAAGTTGCGAAGGGTGAAGACGCTCTCAGGGGGACAATGAACGTCTACACAGTCTGACAGCAGCCTGTCTGTGCTGTCACACGATACGTCTCGGTGTGTCTGTGCATGGGTTTGAGCAGGCGCTGTGATAAAGAAGAGTAAAGGGGCATATCACAGCATGTTACAAGAAATTCAGATGAGGACTTAAAAAAATACAATATTAATAGAAAGCTTTAAATTGATAGGTACGTGCACATTTGCTGAGTTTGGGATAGAGTGCTCTAATTACTGAGCTGACAAACATAAATTATGCCAGGAAACATTTTTAGCCCATTTTTATTTTAATATGTCTCAGGTACAAAAAAACCAGTTTTTTCTTTTATCAGAGCCGCCTGGGAACATATCCTGCACATATGATTTTATAGACATTTCTAAGCCTAACTTAGACTTATTTTCCTGTGATAAGAATTGATAAAGGTCATCTGGGAAAGGAATTTTCTTCTCTCAATATCAACAGCACCTTCCAGGGGAGGGGAAGGATGATTATTTCTGAGCAGCTGTATTAACCGTGCCTTTTTATTTGTTGTATTTTGATGCTTTAACCTCTCAGGACCTGACACTGGAGGGCTGCTTCTCGGAGTTAGCCAAGTCCTAGAGATAGTAAAGAGCCTGCCTGAGATCAAACCTTTCATACGCAAGTTAACCAATCCAGAGTCTATAACCCTAACTACCTTTCTAAACCAGCTCTCATACTCCAGGTCACTATCTACCTACTCTAACCACCCCAGAGGCAGGTATATAACAACTCAGGGCAGCCTCAGTGCCTTAGGGCCTGCTGAAATTACTCAAACTAGCCATACTGCCCTGCCTGGCTCTTTCCTTCCAATGGAAAACACACCAAAGGCTCTTGCCCATGGTCCTCCAACTCCCTCTGCCCTCTGACCATCCCTGAAAATTCCATGTGCAGCTCCCCAAGGTACCGAGCGCCCCCTCCTCTTGGGAGCTGTGAGCAACAAACTATCTTCTCAATGGCAGGCATCTCCTGAACTGTTGGTCTCACCCCCCCCCCCGAAAAACAATAAAACCCCTATTTAAAAACAGCAGCACCTCTGCTGGACTGTAGCTGGAAGAACAATTCAGAAGAATTCTCTCTGCTGTTGTCTAAAAGGCATCCTATTTCTGAAGCTTGCCAGTATCAAGCACTCCTCTGCAGTGTAAAACTGAATGGAAAATTCTTTAAGTGGTTTCAGGGATTTGCTATTTAGTGGAAGCAAGACCCCATCTGATAGCACTGACCTGGGGATATCAAATATCTAGCTCTAGTTTGTTACCCCTCCCAACACACACACACACACACACACACACACACAATAAAACTGTAGAACAGGACATCTTTAAGATTTTCCAAGCAGGATAATTCCTCTTATAGCTTCGCAAAGTGACTATGATCAGCTGGGTCTGAAATTTATCCCTGGGGAGCTGCCTAGAAGCCTAGAGCTGCGGAAGCTTGATATTCCAAGTTTGCCACATCTCTTCTTTTCCCTTGTTGGTTAAGAGCTTTACTCTTGGAATTCATGGCACTAGTAAGCATCCGGGTGACTTTTCCACTTCCAAGCCCTATCTGGCCAGTTGGCCTCAGCCCACTGGCCACTTTGGCTCCCTGGAAAGACACTGATAGACGGTGTCTGACACAAAAGAGTCTGATGTCTGGTTCAAAAGAGAATGGAAACAGACTTCTTCATAGGGATAGAATGAGCAAGTACAGGGTGGACGGCCCCAAACTTGCAATTTTATAGTATCTTTGCCCTACCTTTTACTAGAAGAAATACTAATCCAGCCCACAATGATCAGATCTTGGCAACCCAACGTAAGACAGTCTGTTTTTTCATTCCTTTTGAGCAATCTCTGTTCGTTGCCTCTGTACCTCATGGAAAATATTCAACAAATTGGAGGTCCGAGGAGCTCACACCTGATTTCCATCCTAATGATGAGCTACATCATCTGCATTCACTTCGTACGCTACAAACTCTGCTTTTCAATTGTCAGTGTATAATCTGAATACAAGGAATAGAATGCAATCAAGCACAAATCACAGCATCTGGACGGTAGAGTCTGTTTTGAAAGAGAAATGGTCATAAACGAACCGCTGATTTACTAATTCAGAACTTTATCACATCTTGGCCAACCGAAGAAAGTTAAGGCCCACACTTATGCAGCCTTAAGTATTTAGTCAACTATTCACTGTACATGTAAGTCGTGATCATAGTTGCATTTTGTGTCTTTAATCTTCTTAAAAACGCACCACGACCTAGAACGGGGATGACAGTTTTTCGCTGGATAAAAACAAGTCAACTTCAAAAATGCAAAAAGAAAAAAAAAGTTTACTGAACTCAATTAGCAAAAATAATGCCTTTCCTGGAAAAAAGTCTAGCCCTCCTTCCACAAATCAGAAACCAGGAACAGAGAAACTCAATCAAGGGCCAACAAATGTAAATAGAATCTAAGCAGTTTCATCCAAATTAAAAACAGGAATGCATTACTTATCCAAAGAAGGAGTGAATAACTACTTACCAATACCTTGTCTTGATTTTACTTTCCCAAATCCAAACCATGAGAAATCTGAAAACCACAACAAAACATAAAATAAACTTCGAAAGAGAAGTTAAGCCAGAGGCAGTCAGCACCGTCCTCCGTCAAATACCATAACAAACTCCCAACTGAAAAACAAAAACAAAAACTACACTAAGACCAACGCTGCCTATCAAACACCCAGAAACTAACCCTTGGATTTTTGTGTAAACATTTATTTCTCATTCTGAGAACAGAGAGGTTCAAATCAGATAAGAGACAGCAGCCTGTCTTCAAGAAAAATGGCCCAAACCCAGGGCTAAGGGCCCCGAGCTGTTTTCTTTCTTTCTCACTTTCTGTCTTCCCCCGAGTGGAGAGATCAGTTGCCTAGTATTGAATCATCTTGCGGGAAAGCTGCAGGGGTGAAGACACACACAATACATTTGACAAATGCGCTACAGTGCTGAACCGCAGCGAGGTGGGGGAAATAATAAGAGAAAACAGATCTCTGCTAAAGCTGAGACAGGCAGTTTAAAAAAAAAAGGAACACGGAATCCCGTGGGAGAGCTGACATGGGGCTAGATGGAGATTCAGGAAGGAGAGAAAGGGATCTTAATTCTACACAGCTTCCCTCTCCTGACTTACCCTGTACTGACTTGCTGTGTGACCCTGGGCCTCAGGTAGCATCTCTGTGCCTGTTATAACAGCAGCCTCCAGAAGGCACGTGTTAAGAAAAGACCTGCCAAACATTTGCAGGGCCTTCAGTGAATAAAGCCACAGTGAAATGTGTGTTTGTTTCCTGGGCCTGACCATCTATCCCCTTCTAGGTAATTTCCATGGGGTTCAAAGTGAATTCTGTGCTGTGGGGGAAATTCCCAGATACAAGGCAGATAAAGAAACGGGAGCCCCAGGAAGTAACCGTGTTTCTGCTCTTTCAGCTCTGCAGTGATTTTGACAGAAAGTCTGGACAGTAAACTAGACTGAAGAAGAAGCAATTTAAGCAGAATGAGGTTTGTACAAATTCTCGACACACTCAAAGATGCCTTACCAAGTTGCTGTCCTGATTGTTACTTGCTCAAGTGTAAATTTAGGCTTTCGTACCGCAGCAGCCCTCCAACTTCTAAGACAATTTTTATTTTTGATTGATATTCCTCAGAACACTTCCTTCCAGGTTTCAGAAGACAAGATGAAGACCTGGCCTCAATCCAAAGCCAAATAAAGATTCCTTTGCACGGAAGACAATGAACTTCATTCACCGAAGCTATTAGTCTAGGGAGGAAGGGCCGTGCCTGTACATCTGTCTGTAACTAACCCTATTTAAAATAAAGTGTATTTTCCCTCAGTCACCTTTCAGTTTTTCTGTATTGTTTTATTTACATAGTCTTAATTAAACCATAGATTGAACTTCTGAAGTTCACTTTAGGTATTTGTTTTAGTTGCATTTCCTTTTTACAGAGAAGGCACTGAAAGGCAATGCCGTAGTATTTCCTCACTGCATAGTTAAGATTATTTTTTATCACTGTAATAAGCACAACTGCAATGAACGTCTCTACCCATCTTAAGTGCTCCCCTTCTCTTGTTAAAAATCATTTCTTTAATATGAACCCCCCAAATGACATTACTAATTCAAAAATGGTGAATGTCATTTACCCTTTTATTTCTAGTGGTTTTGGTGAATAGTCACCTTTTTTGACCTGGTTTCCTAGCCCCTCAGTGGTTTCTCCCCATAAACAGAGTACATGCAAAAATTAATTATGCAAGAAGTATTTTTACAAAGAAACTGTAAACATATTCTTTAACTGTATTGATTTAAGATTAAAATAAAAATATAGTCCATATAATGGTTTTACTTCCTGTTAATCAAAAGGTTAAGGTTCTCAACACATGTTATCACATCGTTACTGTCCTGTATCAAAGGTACATGACAGAGTGGAGGTGTATTTTTGAACTTCACCCAGTGGGGGAAGCTAAGGGTAATTCCCTACTTCTACTCTACCAGTGGGGCAGCTGCACCTAACTAAGCAGAGACCCTGCACATATTCCCCTCCCACCTGTGCCCTGTGAAACCATTCCAGCCCTGCCTTTCCCAAGCTGATGAGGTACACAGGTGTAATAAGAAGAACCACAGGTATGAAAAGAATAAGATTTCCTCCCTCTTAAGCCGTCATTTGTTCACTGAGTGACTCCACCTCCACCAGCCAGACACTTCTCCCTTGCTACTCAACCAAGCTTTGTCTGGATGACAAATTATCCCGTGCTTATTGATGAGGAATTGACACTCTGAGAGGCTGATACACTGAGTGAAGGTCCCATCTTGTCGTGACTGAGCGGAGACTCAGTCTCCTGATATCAAATCTAGAATTTGGTTTTTTTTCTCCATGCTATTTCCCAATACTCCAAAATAGCCAAAGTTAACTAAATTTTACAACATTATAATCAGAATTCAATTTTACGTATGGAAAAACACTGTATGTAGTTACTCAGTCTCATTTATTTAGTTCACTGGCAGAGCACAGGATTCAAGGAAGAACAAGCAACAGGGCCTGCCTACCCTCTGGGAGCTTACGGTGGAAGTTGAGCCATCTTAGAAATATGCTCAGGAGCATCTTGTCCAGTCTGGGGTCAGGGTGGGGACAGGAGGGAGAGAGCTCTCAAGGGGCAAACAGCTGAAAAGTGGAGGGGGGACTGAGAAATACAAGTAAGGGCCAAGGAGAGAGTTTGGATTTTATAGTGAAAATTGTGGTTAGACTAAAAAAAAAAAAAAAAGTCAAGCCAGGAAACAACATGATCAAGATTAATTTATTTTGGAAGAATTGCCTTGGCTACAGGGTAGAATCAGGATTCTGGGAGGGAAAAATTGAAGGCAGGAGACTAGATAGGAGGTTTTCAAAGAAATCAAGGCATGAGAGCCTGAACTAGGCATTGGGGATGTGGGAAGGTGAAGAGAGACGGATGACTGGCGGTCATATTTGGGGGCATCAGTAGGAATTGGTAATCAACTGCAAATTGAAGGGAGTGTGGAGAATAAACCATGAATGTTTCAGGTTGAGACGATGAGATATACAGTAATGCTGTTCATAGGGTCCCCAAGGAACTTAGATGGGAAACAGATTCAGGAGTCAAACTGAGTACACTGGCCTGGGGCTAAAATCCCAAATAAGGTGTCTATATGGAGAAAGTATAAGAGAGCTCATCCAGTTAGCAAGATGGTCTGAGGCTTGGGACACAGGTTTAATGCCCAAAGGGGATTTGCCAAAGTTCTAGAGCCCACAGATCAGTGGGAATAAGGAAACTGGGTTCTGAACCTAGAATTTATTACTTATTTAGATATAGACCACTACCTTTCTTCTAAGCACAAGGGAAGGGGTACTCAATTCCAGCCAAATTTGGACAAAATTATTATTAAATTGCTGAAATATTTCTAAGTCCTCTTTAAAAGTTGCACAATCATTATGTGGGAAAGAACGCAACTGTCTTGACCGTATCTCAGAATACTTAAAAAATTTAACAGACCAGTTGTCGAAAGGTCAGCTTGGTACCTCTCCCCGGAAGCTGTTATTTGATCTGCAGCTCTTTCTTGATGGATTTAAACGGTAGTCTTAAAACTTTAATACTAAATTGCACCAGCAAAATTTTCCCACAAGGCCCAAAAGAAACAATTTCTCCATTTCCTGTGATGTTTCACCCATTGGGAGTAGAGTCCTGCCAAACCTTCCTTTATTTTCTGTTTAATAAGAGACACTTTATTCACGGCAAAATAAAGAGCTCCTTCAAAAGCAAATGTAGTTGAAGCAAGCCTAAAAAAAAAAACCCTCCTTTTGGAATCTAGACCAACAAAGACCCTAAATTATGAAATTTGCCAATTAAATCCACTTCATTTTAAAGAGAGCTCAACCTTTTCCCTCACCAGAGAGGCAGAATGTAGGGGGAAAAAATAGTACATTAATGACTCCAAGATGAAATTCAAGCTAAATAAAATAAATGGCAAAAAAGATTACTTTTCAAATGTCTCTTAAAGGAAACAGCTAAAATGTAGGGGGTTGAAAAGGAATATTTATGAATCCGAGAAATGAGCCAGAAATGAGCAGCATGGAAGAAACCCGACCTTCCCTGTAGGTACTGAATTATACAAACACTAAACGCGATGCTTAGCAAGGTTCTGATTGCAAGAGAATGGAGTTTCCAAATTCTATTTCTAAGTCTCAGAAAATCATTTTAGTACATTAAGGGGAAAAATCAACCTTCCTCTCTTTTAACTCTGAAGACATTAAAATGAGCTGTGTTCTGAAATTAATTTCTTTGTATTTTAAGGTAAGGCTTGCCATCCCCAAAAAGCAATTTTAACACTGTGATGGAAGCAAATGGGACAATAGGATTCATGAAGAGAAATGGACTTCACCTTCAACTTCTTATGACCACGCCCATGCCCTAAAGGACATTTGCGAGAAGCATCTCTGGGCTGCTTTGCTCCAGGGAGAGAGTGTGGACCAGTGTTGTCTGAAGCGGATACTGAAAGTGCTTGCCTGAGTAGCCAATGGGATGTCACCTCAAAGAACTAGAATGACTGCTCATTGGAATGGAGGAGAAATGAATGCAAAGGATTGTCTTGTTGATAATATAGTCATCTTCCTTTTCCTACTGACACATCATCGGAGTGAGTAATAGTTTGCTTCAAATTAATTCCAGTTCCTCAAGGCACAGGAAAGTATAGTTTGGGCCAAGTTTCCACTTCAATTTAATCTTAATCTTTTACTTAAGGACATAACCTTTACAAAAGAAAGTCCCATGTCCACAGTTTAGGAGGAGGGTTTGCTCCGAGTTAAACTGGTTCTGGAAATTATGATGCAAAGGGTATTGGTATCCTTTTGACCAACCTTCCATTGGCTTAATCTCTTCCCCTTTCTCAAGTTTGCAAAGTGACTTATTTCCACTGTTCTCAAAACAAACAAACAAAAAAAAAACATAACACTGAGCAGCTTCTATGTGACAAATACAATGAAAAATACATGTATTATGGCTCACACTGTTAGCTGGTCTCTGAAATCCACATT